TTCGGAAGTGTCATCGTCCGATTCATTGGGATCAAGTGGACATTCATCGTGGGAACGATGGGCTACGCGCCGTATGCGGCAGGCCTGTACACAAACAACCGATTTGGAAATGAATGGTTCGTACTGCTCGGTGCCGCTCTGTGTGGTAGTTCAGCAGGTATTTTTTGGATGGCTGAAGCCGCGATCGCTCTTGCGTATCCCGAACCATACAACCAAGGACGCTTCCTGGGATTTTGGCTCGGCTTCCGTGTCGGCGGGCAAATCCTAGGGGGCGCTATCAACCTTGGTATCAATGCTCATCGTGGAACGGCAGGCAGTGTCTCGTATACTGTCTATCTCATCTTTATTGCGCTCCAAGCACTCGGCCCCTTTGCTGGCTTGCTCCTCAATAATCCGTCTCAAGTGCAGCGAAAGGATGGAGTTCCAGTTCGGCTTGAGATCAACCAGAGCATTGGCTACGAACTGCGACAGACGGCCAAGCTGTTCATCAGCAAGAAGTTCCTTTGCATCGTTCCATTCATTTGCCAAGCGGTTTACACCGAGGCAGTAATGTTTTCATATGAAGGCCTCTGGTTCTCCGTGCGCGCGAGAGCGCTCGGCTCATTCTTGTCTGGCATCATTGCATTGATCATGGGCAACCTTCTCGGCGTGTTCCTTGACAACAAGTCCATCTCGTTGAAGAAGCGAAGCCGATACGCTTTTTTCTTTGTTGCAGGCTGGCAAGGCATGTGTTGGATTTGGGCTACTGTGGTGACCACCGAGTTCCACAAGACAAATCCGGTATATGACTGGGCCGATCCGGGCTTTGGAAGAGCCTTCGCTCTCTTCCTGTTCTGGGTTGCTGGATTTCAAACCAATTACATGTACCTGTGAGTGATATGACTGCACCTGGGGGCTCCCGTGAACAAGATGTTAATCTCAAGACAGATACTTCGTGGTCGGCAACCTGGCTGATGACCAGGAGGAAGTCATTCGAATTGCTGGCCTGTTGCGTGGCACTGAGTCAGCAGCTCAGTGTGTTAGCGTAGGTTCCTCCTTCATTCCTCCCCAACTCTTTTCTGTCCTCTAATATTGACACTTGACTTGTAGTACGGACTGAGCAGTGTTACTATCATGGCCGCAATTGGAAGTGTCTATCTGAACTTCGCTTTGTGGGCCGTTGCTATCCCCTCTGCCTGGTACATTATCAGTCAGATTGGTCTCTTTGGAGATAAGAAGTTGGAACGGGAGACCCAGGCATTGCGCGATTCATCTGACAATGAATGAGCCGCTTCACGTAAGATGACGCTGATGTAATGAGACTTTTCTTGTTTGCTTTTCCTCTTTTCGCCCGGTGCGTACCTATAGATATTGTTGTTGCTCTTCTTTCGAAGTTCTAGAGCCTTTGGGGGGCGCTTGCTCCAACAATGATAAGATTAATCAATTAGAGAAATTGAGAAATTTGGCATCAACTAACTAACTATATAACGGACTGAAACGTCCGGTTATCTTGGTTAAAGACCAGCAAGGCGAGACGATGTCTTACAAAAAGACCAAAAATCCCGCACGCAGTCTGGACTGCAACCATATGCCATGCAAGTCGATCTTCCTTCATTGGCCCCATCCATACAAGCCAAAGGTTCAGAATCGTCAGGTTCGTGGATTCGACAATTTGTCCTCTTTCATCTTTCTGAATACGCACCAATCGTAGTGTATGCAGTGTGCCGAGAGCGAAAGCAACCAATGGGGAAGGTGGAACGGTCCATTCCGTTACAGACGCGTCGAGCAAACCAGTTGAGGCATTAAATCTCGGGAGTCGATGGCGTGGGCAGGGAATGAGATGGAAGAGCTGAGGTGTTGAGTAAAGGAAGTTGAAGATCTGGGGGACGAATAGCAACAGCAATGTCTTGCTGAAGTGTCCCAGAATTCCCACAACAGCAAACACCATACCCGCAAGATAACAATAAGTATCGCCCACAAATACCTTGGAGGGGTACCAGTTGTGGCACAAAAGCGCCGCTGAAACACCAATGAATGGTAGCAAGAAGTAGATCGAGAACAAGTGAGAGTCGGTAGCCGGGTGGGGGTATGGGATAACCGGAGCCAAGTACAAGGCATCATTCAAAAGAAGAAGGACTGCAATGACCAGCGACTGAGCAACTTCAATGCCGTTGATGCCTGCCAGCATGTTGATGGCATTGGGGCAGAAGATTGCAACGGCTGCCATGTACATGTAGTACAGCCACCCGAGGTCAATAAAATCACCAAGGTACCGTTGCAGGGGAACGGGTACTACGACGTGTGTCACGCCAAAATCGACAAAGTAAACAACCAGCATGGGAATAGCTGCAAATGCAGGAATCAAGACCTTGTGTCTCCAGCGAATGTCGAGAAGGTCGTCTCCAATTCCCAGGATAATGATACATTGTAAAGACAAAAGACCCGAGAGATATGAGGCAAGCTGGTTCGAAAAGGTTAGTATTTCGTAAAGGGCCATCTTTCTTCCAATAGGAGACTTACCCTTCCATGAGGGAATCTGTGAAGGAACCGCCCTGTTTCGATATGTTGGTCTTCGATAACAACATCCCGATTGCCTCCGCCCGAAGTAGCTGCGACAATGTCCTTGTAAAAGGCAAAAGGAATGAAAATGATGAGGGAAAGTAGATAAACTACGGCACAAACAGCACCCATTGTTTCCGGTCTGAAACCAAACATGAGCCATCATGTCATGAGCAGACAATAAGTGTCGAACAAGTTGACTTACATTTCAGGCTTTCTAGGCTTCGCCATATCTTTGCCTTTGAGACCTGCTTTGATGAATACAGGTCCAAGCCATCGAATCATGCTGTAAGCGACTGCAAAGGCAATGAAAGACAGAGAAATTGAAGCTATCACCGGCGCGCCATCGCCCTGGAACGTGTTGACCAGGATGCCGAGACCGGCCCCCACCAGGAGCAGTAAACGCCATGTTTCTGATCGCGAGAGGGTGTTCGGGATTGACATAGCGAGTGATGGCCCCAGCACCGGGGGTCTCAAGCTCGTTCTCTAGCAAAATGAGCGAAAGAATTGGATAATTATTCTCACGGAGAGATAGCTGACGCAAGCTGGCTTTATCCGAAATTACCCCCCGATAAGCTTATCGGAACTGCTGGATCATGACTCACCGCCTTTAGGCGGTGAGGGCGCATCCCGTGATGATCGTCGCCAAGAAGGGAATCCCAGACGCCTACACGACGCTGAGACACCTCTGTTTCATGTCCTAGCATGTATACATGTGAGTCAAGCGCATAATTGGCTCACAGTCTTACTTTCCTGGCCCATCCTATTCAAGGCAATACCGGGTCGCGATGGGGGCAGTGGAGCGCCCAGAGACAACCGGCGGGTTTGCCGACTTCGATGCCGGTCACCGAGATCTAGTAGCTGTGACCAAGTACAACTACTACGCAAATCGGCTCCTCACAGCATCTTTGGACCATCGAATGAAAGTCTGGGACCTCAAAGATGGTCAATGGCAGCTCGTTGACACCTGGACTGCCCACGATGCCGAGATTCGCGATGTAAGGACCCATGGTTTACGCGCATTCTGTTCGGGAGCTAACAAATATCAGGCAACATGGAACGGTCCCTTCACAGGACAACATATCGCCAGCATTGGAGAGGACATGAGACTGAAGATCTGGCAGGAAGATGTAACGCAGTCTCCTGGATCGGGTCGGCGTTTCAGATCGATCTTTCGGTTGACAGCGCCCCATCGGCATCCCTTTGTGTCGCTGGACTTCCGCAACATTGACCTGGAGTCATGGCTCGCTGTGATCACACGTGATGGCTACTTGATGATCCTGGAACCAGTCAGCCCAGATAGCCTGGCGGACTGGCAGACTATTGACCAGTTCAGGGTTTGCGCAGCACCTGAGCGTGGCGAGGAGACAAGCTTCAAGGTCCAATTCCATCATGACCCCGCTGATATTACACACACAATACTTCCGGATTCTGATCGAAAGAGTCTGTCACTCGTGGTGGCAGCCATGGACACGGTCAAAATCTATCGTACTGACGCAAACCGGCGCTTCTACCATGCAATCGAGCTGAATGGACACCATGGTCTCGTTAGAGACATCTCTTGGGCACGTGGCTCGGTACGAGGCTACGATCTCATCGCAAGTGGCGGCAAAGATGGACAGATACGCATATTTGAAGTTTATACGACCACCGTCAACCAGGGAGCTCAAGCCCCAGGTTCTCGGAAAGCTGAACGGCGCCAGCAGCAATCGTCCTCGACACGAACGACATCCCAGTCTGGCATAGGGACTGCTCTCGCCAATCGCACACCCAATTCAACCTCTAGCCGCCAAGCTACCGGAGACTCTCAGTTCCGCCATTCGTTCAAACAGGTGGCGTGTCTTGATAGCAAGCACCTTGATATCTGGCAGGTAGACTTCTCCTTTGCTGGTAAGTAAGCACTTTTTTCTTCTGATGCTCGAATATGCTTCTCATAAATTCATCTACAGGCGATTGCTTGATGTCTGCGGGCGATGATGGCGCTGCTCGGTTCTGGAAGAAGTCGTTGTCGGGAGAGTGGCTTGAATTTGCTGAGACTGGCATGTCAACTCAGTGATCTGTTATGTGGATGGAAACTTTGACCCTGCCTAATTCTACGCTGAAGCTTTGGCGTTACTCGCCCAGGAATGATACATGAGTAGTAACGCCAGGGATTACTCCTTTATGCGTCCGACAGGCAGCGGGCGGCGGGGTTGTTTTGCATTTTCCGGGCCTCAATATGTGGCAAATGATACCCTGATTCTTGGTTCCTGAGGTTTTCCATAGCGCCCTTTCGGTAATCCTAAAAATCACGGAATGATGCCCTGCCACACATCAAAGGCAGGAGCGACTCTGATACAATATCCGCAAATCCGATCACTGTGACCGGAACGGGAATACAGCGAACCCAACCTAATCCCGCCCTAAATGAACGTCCCCGTTCTTCTCGATCACCTCAACGTTGTATCTGTTACCAATCCGCGATGGCATTGGGCCCGACTCTGGGTACTGGGCTGTTCATCGGCGCTGGGCAGGCGCTCGCAATCGGCGGTCCAGCCTCGCTACTCATTTCCTACGCATTCTTATCGCTCTTAACCTACTTCATGGCCACGACTGTCACCGAAGTCGCCACTCATGCCCCGGCCCGACACGGTACATTGGTCACCAATGGCTTCCGATACATGACGGACAGTATGGGTTTCGCGGCCGGAATTCTGCGCTGGTATACGCTGGCAATGTTTGTCCCCTACGAAATTACAACTGCAATGGTAAACCTCGGACTGTGGAACCCTGGCGTGACGATTGCTTTGCGATTGATCTTCGTCATGACTGTTGTTGTGGGATCCAACTTCATCCCGGAGAGACATTTTCGAACCTCTGAGCGCATTTTCACAAGAGTCAAAGTCGTCACAATGGCCTGTCTCCTTGCTTTGTCGTTGTCTATTGGGCTTGGGGGCGCGACGGGGCACACTAATTGGGGGTTTTATTACTGGAAAAGGCCAGGGGCAATGCACGAATACCTGTTCCATGGCTCTCTGGGGAAGTTCTGGGGCTTGCTGCAATGTGTCTTGCACAGCTCTATCGCGTTCACCTTCACGCCCGAAATCATTGTTCACCGAGCCGAGACGGTTGAACTGGCTTATACGGAAATTGGCGAAGTGTTGGATCCGACTGTCCAAGCTAGCCTACCGAGCAAGGTTGCCTTCGATGTGGCTACTACCACATTGCCGTATATCCTGAGCTCCCTCGCGATGGGTGTCATGGCCCCATACAACGACCCGTTATTGACCAACAATGGAGCTGGAGCCGGTCTGTCCCCCTTCGTTATTGGGATAAACACTGCTCGTATCCCCATCGTCTCCGTCACTGCATCCCTTGCCATCCTGATCTCATCGGTTGCTTCGGCTCGGTCGTTTTTATTCCTCGCTTCACGAACACTATGTGCAATGTCTGAGCTCGGCCATGCTCATCGGGCCCTCAAAGTACGCAACCAATGGGGCGTTCCTTATGTCGCCGTCAGCACCACTGGCTTTTTCTCCCTGTTAGCCTTCGCCTCCGTGAGAATGTCGAGCTCAATCACGACCACCTATTTCCTAGTCTTCGTGAACAGCTCCGGCTACCTGTCCTGGTTGATTTCGTGCGTGATATTCCACTACTTCCGACGGAATTTGGGTCTCCGCCACAATACCCACTCTTATCAATACGCCATTCAGCCGTTTGGGACGTACTTCGGAGCCCTGATGAGTGTGATCTTGCTCATGTTCAATGGCTTGGTTGGAGGCACATCGGGTCCTCGTCCCGGTCCAAGAGTCGCAAGACTTCTTGCCGCTTACCTGAGTATCCCCGTCTTCGCGATTGTGTATTTTGCTCATCGATTTCGGACGATGGTCCCTTATCGGACATCTCATAGCAATCTGGGGGTGCACAACCGCCAGGAAGAACAACGAGGTCAAGCTGTCACTCAAGTTTCCGAGCCACAACAGGGAGGGTTAGCGCAACCCGTTTCACCAGAGATCGTTTAGTCTGATCACGTATTGTCGATGGCGGATGACTTGTAAAAGCTCGGACGCAAGCCTGATGAAGGAGACCGGGTTGGGGGTGCATTGAGAAGATCAAGTATATCTGGAGAGTGGTGCATTTTTGCACCTTTCAATACCACGGAGTTTTATTATTAGAAGCTGAATGTTTGTTGTATTAGTGGTTCCATCCACTCTTGTAATATCACGGGTTATCAGGTTTCATTGGAACCTTGATAGTTACCTTTTTGTCGTTGCCCACAACATACTACCTGCCAACGTGATTCAATTCCTTCCTTCCTCTCCATCTTCTTCTTCTTCTCCCCCCCCTCCTCCTCCTCCTCTTCAATTCATTTCCCTTCTCCACCTCATTGAATCATGTACCTCCTGACATTCATCTTACCTTTATCATCATCAATTCGGTTATCCATACAAAGTCTAATAGCTGGTGTTCTGCAGCGACCTTGTCTGGCTGGTATTCAGTCCCGGGTGGCTCGTGCTCCCGGTACGTGTATCGCCGGGGCTACAGCCCTGAACCCCACGCCAATGGCAACGCCCACGTCTGCACTCACACCGGCGCATTTCCATGGACTCCAAAGGCCCCATCGACCGTTCGAATCCACTCTTTCATTCATCTTTGAAATTGATATGGTATCCGAGTAGTTGTCTGTCAAGAGATAGACAAGAGATTGACAGCACAGTCCTCACAGTCCCGGCGCAGTGATTAAGCACCCCCCAGACAGTGTATACTGCGGATCCCGATGTTCGTGGACCATACCAGGCGGTTTCAATACGTTTTCGCCTTAATTATTTGGATGATCGACTAACGGGTCGAATTGCTCCTGTTCCTTGCGCACGTCGGACCCTCTATAGTGGCAAAAAAAAGGCCGCCAAATCACCGGACTGGCAAATAATATCGGAAGGCTGCTGAGCAGCCGGCCCCCTTTTACCGCAGTGTCTTCTCTTTCCTTTTGGGCACCCTTCTACTCCCACCATTTTACCTCGGGCAGCCTCTGAAGGGGACTCTTCCGGCACTCCATACCTGATGCACTTGCCCTGTCGATATAATGACCCTCCTTTTCTTTTTTTTACCTTCTCCGAGGGCCCTTCCACACCAGCGATCAGAGATCAAAACCAACTCTAAGCCCGATGACCAACAAACAGGCCCCAGGTCTATTTCTATTAGTCTACTGACTTTGCTAACTATTCTTTTCTCATCCCCCCCCCTCTTCCCCTCTCTTTCTCCCGATTTCTGCGCCACTCTCCCCTACCCCATCTTACCCTTCCGTCTCCCGGCCGATCTTCCTCTTTCCATGGACGCAACTGTCCATTTACCCACATCTCGCCCTACTTGTACACTACTCCCTCCGCTCTATACTAACATCTGAAAAAAAAAAAAAAAACCTCCTACAAGACTCCCTCCCGGGTTTTGATCTCATTGTTAAAAAGGAGATCTTCCCCTCTTCTCATGTCACGCTCGCTGCGGCTTGCATTACGGGATTTCACTCCTTTACTTACTCATCCTCTCCCTTACTTGGCTCACGAGTTATTACACGGGCCTTGTTCCATACGTACTCCTCGTCCGTCGTTGTTCTATGTTCCTCTTATCTTTCTGTTCTTCTAGGGGAAGCTACTTTCTCCTTGTGAACCAAGCCTGGTCCGCCAACACCTTTCGAGGTCCTTCCGTCGAGATGCTCCATGGTTGCAGCCTTATCAAATGGGCATCTCCCGTCCTTACTGGGCTGCATGGCATGGATCCCGAATGAGCTTACGGCTGAACCTGCCAGTCGGGTCACAATGATAGGGCCATCTTTCTGCTACAAACTCACTGCCAGAGGGCTATGGCCGTTGCACTGACTAACACGATACTGCCATTTTTTTTCTAGATGCTAACCACTAACCCCCTCCGACTGACCCCCATGGGCCTGCTCCTGCTCATGCTCCTGCACCAACTCATGTCCGCCAGCATTCCCGCGACTCGTGACTCTACCCACCGGATTAGGTATTCCCGGCGCTAGTCCGAGTTCAGCCTAGCGTATCCCTCAGAACGGCAGTCGCTGGTCTCGCCCTGTTGGGCCCTTTGATTACCGATGACACCCATTCCTGGTATTGGCCAGAACCATACATCGATACACCCGTCTGACTAACCTCGTCTCGCAATGCCAGACGACAGAATGCCAATACGCCAGCTTTGGCCCGCTAATCGTTTTCGGGTCGAGTCCCCCTCCCATTTTCCCCCAGGCCACCCTCTTCCCTCGCAGTCCGGTTTTCTTCCTCGCTGAGGTCGCGACTCTCCGCCAATCCGCGCTATTCCCCTTTCGCTCCCTGCACTCGGGCTTTCTCTGCCTAAGGCCCTTCCGTAGCCTCCTCCTCCTACGACCACTTCTCGAATCACCCTCTTTTCCCTCTCCTTTTCTGGCTGCGCGTCCTTTCTCTTTCCTCCGATTCTTCTTCACCCCCTTCCTCATTTCATTTGTTCCAGGCTCAACTCTTCTCGATCCTAACCGTCTCGACTCTTTCGCCTTCTTTCCTCCCTCCTCCTCCTACTCGCGATCCCGTCGCCCTCTTTCTCACCCTCTCGACGGACCCTACTCCTCGACGAACAACCCGAAACCACTCCTCTTGCGCGATCCACGTCTTCCTGGCCACCTTATCTCAAATCGCCTCGCTTCTTACTCCTGGCTGCTACTTTTCTCGTGTCGATTCCTCTTTTCCTCATCGCTCCACCCTTGAGCACACCGGACTGGCGCATTCGGCCAAGGTTTTTTTTGCCTCCAGAAAGCCATCCCTGGCCGTCCGAAGGTCATCATAATCGACTAGATTACCCTGCGAAGAAGATCGACTGGGCTGTCGCAGCATTGATAAAGTGTTTTCTGGGTATCCCACTCTCTGACGCTGTCACCCAACTGGCTTTCGCCCGCCACACAAGGCAAAACGCGTCTTACATCGTCAAGAAGGGATTCTCCAAGGCTGACGAGGACTTTCCCTTGAAGCGATTGTGGACATGCTCGTTGCACAGTGACGGGTCGCCCACCCCATCATTTCTCAACATATCTCAATTTGTCGTGATTTGAGGGGGGGTCATCTGTCAGACTATGACAGATACCTCCTCCCTCGCCATCACGTACGCCACCACGGATCCGTATCCGGTCCCCGTCCCTGCTTCTCTTGGATCCCCCATCGCCAACGGGGCAATCTCAGACTCGGTCGCGCCCGACGAGGAAGAGCCGTACACCATCAAATGCATCTGCGCCTTTGACGATGATGATGGTAACACGGTTTTCTGCGAAGGGTGTGAGACGTGGCAGCACATCATCTGCTATTACCCGGACAAGCGGGTGCCGGATGTGCACAACTGCGTCGACTGCGAGCCTCGCCCGTTGGATGCCCGGCGCGCTGCTGAGCGTCAGCGCCAACGGCGGATCCGAGAGCAGAGTGACGACGGTGACCGGAAGAAGCGATCGACCACAAAATCCCAAAGGAAAAAGGTCCGCGATGGTGACGTGAATGGATTTGGACATCAGCGCAGCGAGTCCGGGTCTCGCGATCAACCCCCGGCTAAGAAGACCAAAACTGGTCATCGATCCTCTGCATCCATCAGTGCCCTTGCCGGTACACCGACCCTTCCCGCCGAGAGCCGAAAACGCCGTTCCTCCACCTCTGTCGCCCCCAGTCTCACCAAACCTCCAGCTCCTTTCATTCCCTTGTACTCTAATGAATTTCTCCGTCTCTATGATTGTGATGATAAACGGGTCGACATGGATAGCAACCTTTTCGACACGGTCAACCTCCTGAGTGATACTGCATCCTGGGTTAAGGACCCGGAGGCCCTATCAAGAGTGACCAACGGCGGGGCTGAGAATACTTTCAATCGGTCCGATGCCGCTCTCGACAAATCTAGCTGGCCCGCTTTAACAACCGATACCATCACGGACCCATCAGTTGACATTGGCGGGAAGCATCCTACCTGGAAATTTGTCAAGACTCTGGATGCCGTACAAAAAGACCACGTGGTTGGGGAAATTACAGGCAAAGTCGGCATTTTCGATGATTATTGTCGGGATCCTAATAACCGCTGGCCCGAGCTCCGTCACCCCGAGCCCTTCGTTTTCTTCAGCTCTCATCTTCCTCTCTACATCGACAGCCGCCATGAAGGCAGCATTCTTCGTTACACCCGCCGGTCATGCCGTCCCAACGTGACCATGAAGATCTTCATCACGAATGATGTGGAGTATCACTTTTGCTTTGTTGCAAAGGAGGACATTCCTGCGAATTCAGAAATTACGATCATGTGGTATCTGGATTCACAATTCTTCGAGTCGACAAACGGCCTGGTCAAGCAAGAGGACAGTGCCACGGAAGCTCCTGCTATCTGTATCAGCAATACCCTTGCGAACTTTGGGGGTTGTGCGTGCGATCAGCCTAATTGCCTTCTTGCGAGCTTGGACCGTCGACGGAACCCGAAATTGCTCGAGTCATCCAAGCAGAGTAATGGTAAACGCAAAAAGGTGAAAACAAAGTCTATCGCTTCCCCCCACGATACGGGCCGGGCGTCCACTAGTCGTGCCGGAAGCGAGACTACGAAACACCCGGAAGAGGATGATGGAGCTATTGAGAGTCGATCTACATCTGGCTCGGCGCGTGGTCAACCTCGGAGTCGCGACCTCAGCCCCGCCATGGCTGGACCAGCGGAACTCTCCACCCGCGAGAAGCGGAAGATTGCAGACGCGGAGAAGCAATTCCAACAGTTGGAACAACTGGATCACAGGCCAACCACTCAGCGCAAAAAGAAGCGAGTGAGTGGACCACTGGCACAAACATCTGCAGGGGTTTCAACTGCCACGCAAGCGGGATCATTTGGGGCTCACCGAAATTCAACCAAATCAATACACCTTGAAACTCCCGGTCGCTCTCGCTCTCCAACCACCGCCATGTCGCCAGGATTACCTGCTACAGGCCGTCACGGATCCCCTCGCAAGAGCTCGGGGTCCAATACGCCCTATGCTTATTCTCCTTTGGGCCGTCCCACCTACGTCAATATTGGTATCCAATGTGATATGGATGAAGTAGAGTATCAAGCTGCCCGCGACGCGTCTCCTCATCCTCGTACTACTTTTGTCCCAAGAACGGTCCGGATCCTCCAACGTTTCAAAGCAGATCGCCTTCGAGCTCAGGAACTTGCACGACAGCAGTTATCCTCGGCTGGCTCGGATTCCGTTATCTCTGCTAGGTCCTCCTCCCCAGCTCTCACCCAGTCTCCAATCACCAAGCAGGAAAAGTCCGATGTCATCATGTCAGATGCGGCTCCTTCCGAGCCGCTTCATCAGGGAGAATTTGAGATGCAGGACGCGTCGCATGACGCGTCGCATGCCCTTTCTTCCGACTTGGTTCAGATTGATGCAAGCAAGCCCGTGATTCCACCGCCGTGGCCATCAACCGCTGCACACAACACGCGACTTCCTGGAATTACCACTCCAGAACGCGCCAATTTACGCGTTTCCATGCCACCGCCTAGCATCCCCAATGTCTCTGTTAGCCCCAGCTCCATGTCTGCTGTGAGCCTCGCCTCTCCTAACACCCTCGACACATCGCCGCACGCTACTCTTCCTACACCTGGTGCAGTTGCACCGACTCCCACCCCAGCCAAGAAGAAACTCAGTCTTGGCGATTACCTGATCCGACGAGGTACGATGGCAACGCCAACTTCCGAGAAGATCCAGTCTCCAACTCGAGCCAATGCCATACCTTCTACGCAGAAATCACCTTCGACTCCAGGTGCGGGGCCTGTAGCCAGTGCGGATGGGGTCGAGACTCCAACTAAACCATCTCCAGATGGCAAGTCAGAGTCTCTTGGATCCCCCGACGTATCGATGAAAGACGCACCAGAGTCAACCCAGCCACGCATTCCTTCCATTTCTTCGTGATCTGTCTTCAATACCCCGTTTTTTCTCTTCCTGTTTGCTATGTGATAGTAATATTTGTGGCTTGGGTTGACTGATGGTTGACGGTTGACGAAACCTACCCTTCGCAAGGGATTCACGTTTCTAACGACTCAAAAATGTTCTTTCGTGTGACTTGCTTCGCAACCCTTCGTAGGTGGTGAATCAATGGCGTTCTGTTCGGTTTTGGCTGTGTGACGTCTTTTGACTTCTGTTTGTTTTGTTGTTATCTGCTTGAAAGGCGTACATGGTGTGACCAGTCACGGTCGCTTTACGGAAATACCAGGGTTCAGTTCGGTCGGGTTCGGTTTGGGATGGTTCGTGTCTTTCGACAATCATGTTTTGTTCCTGTTCTTTTTTTCTCTTCCGTCCGCGGATGCTTGTGCTTTCTCGGCACCCTGCATGTGTGCAGAAAGCACAACAGTGGCGCCTGAGAAATCTATCACCCATCATCTCATTGTCTATGGAATGATCTACCGGACCTTTTTCTCCTCTCCTTCCAGGGTCGATATCCAACGCCAGCTACAAGACTGGCTTGCTTGTATGAACAATGTTATTTTTACCTCTGCGCCTGCTCCACTACTTGTAAGCTTGTAAGGCATTATTCTAGGCAGGCATCATAGCAACTTGGCCTGCTGTATGTATGATCTTGTCGAGGCTTGTCTTGGCCAGCACTTGAACCAAGCATATACATTTGATTACACTTGTCTAGCCTTGTCTAGCGTCCATGATTCTAATCTGGCTTTTTGTCCAGCTCAAGTTTTATTAAAGGTCTCTATGAACCGACACTGATGGTTAGGTTCTTTTATCACCAAAGGTAGAGAAAGGGAATATGAAGTCGGTTTTAAGAATCAACTAGCAGTACAGGCGATTATGCCATAGCTCGTCAATGTTGATAGGTGAAACGTGATTACATGTTGTGAGAATTACCTGTTATGAGATACTAAGAATACCAGATTCAAGCCTACGAGTGGGAACATGGCACCAGAACTTGTCGTTGAGGGATGTCGAAAGAGAGACAGTTTAAGGGTTGCAAAGTGACAGGCTGGGTGATCATGTTGTTTCTTATTCATTGTATCCCTGTTGCTAATTATTGGCTTCTCTGGTTATATTCTTGATTACTTTGAGTATGGGGATTCTCCAAATGCTATCATGAAGAGAACAAGCATCGTCTGAAGAGGAAAGTATAAACTTGAATGAGGTTGTGAAAAAACAACTACTTTGACAGTTCTCTCAATCTCATGCTGACTCGAAAAATGCCCGACCTAGAGTCACTTTTTTGTTGAATAGTTATTCGCCTCCTTCCAACGCTCCCGCCGTCATTGGATGAAGTGCTTCCGGACGCATCACGGCCCCGACAAGGCTCCGATAAGTCAAGGATCAACCCCAGGAGGACAACTACTCACACAACATCATCTCAAATTCCACTTTAACCCTTGCTCCATTCCCTGTTTACAACCTGTTACACGGATTCATGACTTGCTGAAGATCATGAGCTCTACTACCCACGAGACCATCTCTCTGAGCGAGGTACCATCTCGTTACTCCTCCGATGACGTGACTCCATCGGAAATCGAGCAGCCGTCGCTGCCCCCCGCAGATGGAGGCAAAGCTGCGTGGCTATTGCTCGCATCATGTTGTCTCATCCAGCTGCCAGTCTGGGGTGTGCTGTGCTCTAAGTGCCAATAGCAAGAATGTTCCAATGTCTAATTTAAGAAACTAGGATTCTCGACCGTGTTTGGTATTTTCCAAGAGTACTACAGCACGCATGACGTCTTGCAGGGCAATAAAGGCGACCTGGCTACCGTGGGGACTACATCGACTGTACGGGAAAAGTCTTTGTACACTTTTCATTGGTAGTGATATGATCTAACTCGGGCATTCAGGGTCTTCTATACCTCTTGTCACCCGTAACTTTTACCCTTCTGACGCGATATCCGCGCCTTCAGGCTTGGTGTATTCCGACAGGCTTAGCTATCACCGTGATCGGGTCCCTTTTATCGTCCTTCTCGCAGCAAGTCTGGCACCTTATTGCAACACAGGGTGTGATGTGCGCCATCGGCAATGCACTCATGTTCAGCCCATCGTCTCTGTATATGGACCAATGGTTTATAACGAAGAAAGGACTTGCCCTCGGCATTATGTGGGCAGCCAAGAGCATAACCGGTGTTGCGTTGCCCTTTGTGGCGAATGCTTGTTTGAATAAATTCGGTTCCAGTACAACTTTCAGAGCGTGGACTGTCACTACGGTATGATGCCCCAGTTCATCGTTGCCCTTTTACGCCATACTGCGCAAGCGTTGCGAGGCTATGCTGGGGTTTTACTCGGAGGTTGGCAGCTTGTTTTCAATTCTAACGACACTTATAGCTGCTCACTACCCTACTATCCTTGCCGTTCATGACGCCTCGAGTACCAGTTTCCCCATCTGCGTCAGCCCGGCGTCTGGACCTGAGCTTCCTCAGATCGGTCACATTCTGGATGCTCCAGGCGGGAAATGTCTTCCAAAGCTTTGGATACTTCTTGCCGTCCACATATCTGCCATCCTATTCGACCACCACAGTCGGTCTGTCCGAAACAACGGGCACAATGCTAGTCTCGCTTTTCAATGCAACTTCTGTTTTCGGCGGTATCTTCGTGGGAATGCTCTGTGATCGCTTCCCAGTATCGAATGTTCTGCTTCTCTCCTCGGTAGGCTCAGCTCTGTCCGTGTTCCTTCTTTGGGGCATGGCATCATCTCCAGAGTCTGAATCGCCTCAGACAGCAATCGCCTTGCTCACTCTATTCTCCATATTCTATGGCTTCTTCGCGGGTGGTTTCAGTTCCACCTGGTCAGGCATCATCAAGCAGATTAAGCGGGAATCCTCTGCCTCTTTGGAGACCGGGTTGGTCTTTGGTCTGCTTGCCGGAGGGCGAGGAATCGGCAATGTTATCAGTGGACCACTGAGCACAGCGCTGATCAAGCAGGGATCGCTGAGTGGCTCGCAAGGGAATAGTGAAACTGGATTTAGCACTCAGTATGGGACATTGATTCTCTTTACCGGTATCACGGCAGTCTTCGGGGCATGGAGCTGGATGTGGCGTTATATCAGTTCTGAAGTACACTGCGTCAGTCGTTCAGGGTAGATTCCATTGTCATATACACGGTGCGACTTTAATTTCTATTAAATGTCGGAAGAGAGATAGTTTCAAGAATCAAACGCGGAATTCGAAGCAACGAAATCTATGAAGAGGAAAAATGATTGGTTCGAGTATGGAAATCAATAGTACAAGGTTCAACGTATTAAAGTCACGTGCATCGCGAGCTTCAACGCCAGCCATTCCACCGGCACACTTTCCAGGCGCAACCTTCGGTCGAACCACCCCCGCCGTTGCAGCTTCATTATCAGTCGCCGTGGTCCTCGATTACAACCATGGCAGCGACCGATTCGGCTGTTCAGGACCCTCTCCTCTCGCTCCGGCGCGCCATTGCTGCAGGTAGCCTCCCAACGCCGACGACCTCCTCCGAGCTGTCAGACCAGCATGCGACAGACAACCTAGCCCAGGCGACACACCTGTTCTTCTCCCAGCCATCACCCCACACATTCCCCTTGACTGAGCCCACGCGCTTTGTCTCAAACACGACAGAAACCGCCGTCGATCTGCGCAGTATCTTTTTCGCGTGGCAGAAGAAGGATGTCGCGATTCCGGAGTACATCGCTTCTGCACAAGAGCTGAACGAGGCGCTCAAGCAGAAGGAACCTCAGGAGGGCGGGAAGGAGGAGGTGATTCAGAACCTTGTTTTCGTCGAGCGTCTGGACCTCATCACTTGGTTGGAGGGTGCTTCCGATGAGAGCGAACACATCAAGCCGCTTGAGGGCGCCGCTGCTGCTGCCGAAGCCGCTGCCGCTGCTGCAGGTCAGGCTCAAGCAGAGGCCGCCGCCGGTGTGGCCTCCGGCGCTGCTGGAGGTATTTCAACGGTGCCCAGCGCAGCTGCCGCAGCTCCTGGTCAAGCGGGTCGCCCGCAGAAGCAGATTGATCCTCGGCTGCAGGAGATCTATAATGGGGAGCGCAAGACGGGTGATCGTAACACCTTACTTCGGGGAATCAAGCCAACTGTAAGTTGATTTGGATCAAGCAGATTGCTATGCTGCGTTAGCTGTCGGCAGAAACTAACTCTTGCCTTGCTTTCCAGGACTTCTCCCACGTCCGAAAAAGTGCTGCTATCTTCTTCGACCGCAGCCGTGACCGTCCAGGCCAGCCTGGCGCCAAACCCGGCGCCAAACCCTCGTCAATGGTGCCCGCACCCTCAGCCGGCCTATCTATGCCATCTCGCAAATCAAGCTCTCGTCCCGACCCCATCATCCTCCTCTCACCTTCCGCCTCATCTCTTATCCGCATGTCGAACATTAAGTCTTTCCTACAAGACGGCGTCTTTGTTCCACCAGACCACCCAACCCTGAGCATGTCTACCGAGGCCAACTTCATGGAACTCAAGCGACCACTGCGTCTAAAGAACGACCCATCCAATCCTTCCGCTAATGCCATCGGCTCAGCCGGCGGTGGTCGCGGGCCCAAACCTACCAAGTTTATTCTCGTTGACGGCACAACCAACTTCAAGCCAGAATACTGGTCACGTCTCGTGGCTGTCTTTACTACCGGGCAGACCTGGCAGTTTAAGTCGTACAAATGGTCCTCGCCACCAGAGCTTTTCAAACATGCTACCGGCATCTACGTTGGCTGGCGTGGCGAGGACGTCCCCTCTACGGTCAAGGGCTGGGGTCGTGGAGTAGACACCTTTGCTGTTGAGCGGTGGGATGAGAAGGGCGGCATTCATGGAGGTGGCCGTTGGCGGGATCGCGAAGTTGTCGAGGGTATCTGGACCGCCATTGAGGAAGGCATGAGAATTCGAGGATGGGGGTCGAAATAGAGAATCTTTCGATCCCTGCTCATGCCTCTGTTTCTCCTGGAAATCACCCGTGTTTTATTACCTTGGTCATGCGCATTCCCCTTCCTCTTTTCCCGCTTCGCGCCTTCCTTTGTCATTTTCAACACCTTCCACCTGACCCAAGAAATTAAGCTTGATGATATGTGCATGCAGGGTCCACGTGGGTTCCGGCGTTTCAATTGGGGGGTTTAAATCTACATTACACTGGGTACATTTACCTGTTTGTTTACAGCTATGTGATAATCGCATACAAAAACGACTTGAAATCAACTATTCTGGGATATACCTGATGAAAACCATAATACTATTTCCCAGACATCAACTTCTGTTGATTTAGATGGACCGAGCATGAAAGTGCAAGCGTGCTCAACGTCTAGCTCCTATGGTTTCAGACCCCGGTTGACACTAATGAACCCAAGGTTCCAGGCATTGGCCTGTTCCTTTTGATGATAGAGCCTTTAAAACTTGATATCAAGGTTAATCAATATTAATATATTCAAGGGAGATTGAGTAGCTTTGATTGTCAAAGTGGCCAGGTACGTAAATGCCTCGTTTGAATGCCTCATTTGAATCTCCGACTCTTACATTTTGACGGAAACAGGTCGCTCTGCCGATTTCTAGCCTGCATTCGAAGCCAGCAACAAAAGAAAATTTGGAAGAACGATGCATCAATATAAAGGGAACTAGTTAAATGGAGTGATGCAAAATGATAAAATATCCTCTGCTCTAGTAGTGGCCAACTCTTGAATCTTTACCAAAGATTTACAATAACGTCACTTTATGCCTCATCAGTTCAGACTATTGGTTCTCGGTCAGTATTCTATTTTATTTTAATTCTTACAGTGAAGCACCGGTAGCTCAGGGGTTAGAGTATGGGATTGCAGATCCTAGGGTCGGGCGTTCAAATCGCCCTCGGTGCTCAAGAATTTTTTCACACAAATTGTTAGTAATTTTTGGTCTTCTTCTATCTTTTTGTGCTTCTTTCCTATTTTTGTTGAATCGTGGTTTGGACTTGAAATTGGTAATTATCCTGCTTCTATAATATTCGAGTTTTTTTAATATAAGGCATTATCATACTGCAAGGTCTAATCGTTGCGGTTGGGGCCAGGCGGAGTTGGGTTGGGTACGAGTCATGCTCAACCCGAGCGTTTTTATTCTCTCGAACCGAGTGAGGATACTCGGATTTATGGATGGTAATATTAACGATCAACTGTCCTTCCTGACACTGGGGATCTTGTCGGCCTAGAGTCATCATAACATCGGCTGTGGTTTAGTGGGGAACTTGATATACAATAGCAGGCCAATCTGTATTGGCCTAAACTGTCGTTGAACGCCCAGAAAGCTACTTGACCTAGCCGATTTCGAGACAGTTTAAGAGTCTTTTTTGGACACAAATCCAATAACCTTCGCTTTGTCGTGTAGAAGACGGCACCCATAGCAGCAGCCAGATGATGCATTCAATTTGAATACACTGATTTATGACCATCGATGAAACCAAGCCCAATGGGCTCCCAGCTGTCCTAATGTCATCTTACACGCTCTGCCACAAAGTCTATAATTCCGTAAGGACCCCTCCTGTGGGTTAAATGCGATTTTGTGTAGTAAAAAGAGACTTTCCCAGATATGTTGGGAAACATTCTTGTTTTGATGATCCAGTAAATTCATACAGTAGATGTGGTATTGGGAACACCTAGCGTAATTCAAGACCTTCCATCAAGGCCGAATGAGGACCGAAATAGTCTATGGAGTAGAGTATAACATATCACCTGTGGGCCGTTGTGATATACGAAGTCCACGCAAGAGGAAACTCTGGGGAGAGCGTTGTTCTAAGTTAACCCAATCTTTAAGACAGAATCAAACTAAACAAACAGACCAACGAAAGTGATGTCAATCTACCCCCGTCTAGCGACTCCCCGGAATAGAGACTACAGTAGAGAAAGAGAGAAGTTTAAATGTTCGAGTCATGTCCATTGGCTTTCCCAAAAGGGGGAAGTTTGAATAATATGACAGATAAATATGAAAGCAAAAAGCCAGAACTCACACGCTGTGCCCACAGAAAGGAAACAATGCAGTACCACGAATGGAGAGATCAACATGGACAGAAATGTAGAAAAAAAAAAATAGACTAGAAACAAGAGAAACAAAACAAGAATCGATGCTCGTTGAGGAGGGAGGGGAGGGTCGTGTACGAGGGAGAAAACAAGACAACAATGGGAGTGTGATAAGCATGCATGTGTTTGGGAGTGAAAAACGCCGTATCTGATGCTCAAACAACACAAAGCAAAAGTAAAGCGTAGTAGATCGAGTAGAACCACCAGTCTTTGTATGCATTCATAATTTTTTTTCTTGATTTTGTCACCATTCCGGATTTCGTACCAGGTGTGGTGGTAAAGCAAACGCTGGTGGAATGAGTATGGTGTATGCAATTGGGGGATAATGAGAGGAAGAGGGATCAAAAAAGAAAGACATCATGCAAAATATTACAAGGAGTCCCAAACGAAAAACAAAATTCCGGCCTTCTCTATAACATGAGGCATCGATCGATCGTAACGTCTTTCGTCTGGTGACGTAAAATGAAATGCGTGTCGAGGGAGGGAAATTAAAGGAAATAACCCGGGGAAAAGACTGAACGGGGGCGTCCGGGGAATGGAACGAGGCGCAAGTCGAGATGCAGATGCAGGATGCAGGATGCAGACGCCCGACGGGCTACACGCCATGTGAAGGAAGAAGCAAGACAAGACAAAGAGAAGGGAGAAAATGGAAGCTTTTTTTTCCAAGGTCGGAAGCGAATCGTGACGAGGGTTGGTCTGAAAATCGTGTAGGTTCGAGAAAAAAGGGGGTCCTGTCCTAGGACCCGTTTGATCGGGTCCAGACCCATGGCGCTTGATCCAACACATCCGTGCCATGCGACTTCCTTCATCCTAAAATCCCATCGTCGGGCGCAAGAACAGGCCCCCCGGCGCGGTGGGATTCCCGCGTTGCAGTCGCACAAGAAACGGGAGCGGGCAGACCACAATTGGCCGGACACGCATCCGCGAAACTCTAGTCTTCGAGACCTGCAGAAAGGCGTTGAAGCTTGGAGCCCATTTCTTGATTAGAAGATAACAGGGGCCGGAGTAATGATGGAAGAAGAGCTTGCGATAGGCGTGAGACGAACTGTGACATTTGAATCACGACGAGGGAACCGGTTGCTGCTTGCCGGTCGGGTGAAAGCGTCAATGCTGGCTCGCGGTGATTGTCATGAACGAGCAGACCGGCTCATGCTTCGTTCCGGGAGGCCCGGGGTAGGAGAGTAGGAGCGCGAGCCGCCGAAGATGTCGACGTCGTGTTCCTGCAGGACCACGGAGTACTTGGGGTCACGAAGAAACTTCGGGACGGAGTCCTTCAAATCAAAAGAGTTAGTACGGAATGCAATCTTCTTGCGGAGAGGATTGATTAGGTGGCAATCAAGAGGAATCAGCGCTTACACTTGACATCAGCTTGAAGACGGAAGTCTGTGCAAGCTCAAAGAGATGCACAACCTCCTGAAGGCTCTTGTACATGGATTCGTCGTCACCAACAGCCTTGGTCATACGGCTGGCCAAGCTGTTGCGTAGGGCGTGGTCGATATTCAGCTCGCAAGGTGACCCAGGGGCCAGGAACGCGTTGTACAGACCTAAGAGGCAGAAGAAGGAAAAGAAGTTAGTATATGACCAGCTCTAAAAATTGATATTTCCTTCTCGGTGATTGAAATCATACCATAAGCAGCGGCTAATGTTTCCCGAACCGAATCCACCTTGTTGAAAGTGCCAGTCTTCTCGGCCTTGTGGTAGTTGGCAGTGAACTCGGACACGTCGAGATAGAAAGCCAGATTCTCTTCGCACAGAGAGTAGCGCAGGAACTCGCGGAACAGGAGACGAAGGGCGGGGTCTTGCAGGATGTGGGTCAGACGAGCGTTGTTGGAATCCCGGGGCATACCGCGGTTGTCGTAAGTGCCGGAGTTGTCGCGAGGCTTGTCGCGAGCGATCCATCCACACACGCGCTGGCCACGCTCGGTGATGCAGTAGATAGCGTATTTGGAAGGCTGGAACACGGCGTTGGAGTCGGGGTAGGACTTGTCGTCCTGAATCATCGTAATCAAGCCATACTTGAGGAAAAGCTCGGCAATTAGGCAAGTCTCTCGGCGTTCGATAGTGGTTGAACAGTCCATCAACCAATCCACCGCGCCCTTTCCAGTAAACGTGTTGGTGTAAATCTTGCCATCGTGCAACTTGCGCTCTCGCGCCATTTTCACTCCAATGATACCGTTCGAGTAGTCACTCAGCGAGTCGGAGTCTGACGTGGAAATGCTGCTCTTGATGTTGGGGCCATCCTGTCCTGCGAACCGGCGGAAGATCACCTCGATCGTGGCGCGATCATGCGACAACTTATCGGAATCCGTGTCTCGCTCCAAGTTCACCAATTGCATCGTATTGCGCGGTGATTCCAGCACGTCCATCACGTGACGAGCGGTGATTCCGTTGCGCTGGCAAAAGCGCTGCAGAATGTTGATACCCTTCGGGGTGAGTTGGAAGAGGGCGCCCTTGAGCGGGAAGATCGGCAGAGCCTTGCCATCGACGGCCTCGATAAAGCGGGCATCCACAAAGCGCTGGCAGACGGACCGCGCCATTTCCTTGGCCATGGAGAATGTCGTAGTCGTTGTAGTGGTCACAATGCGCGAAGGGTCCTTAGGGTCCGGCATACGGTTGGACTGGGAGAATTTGAGAGATCCCAAATTGTTGATCGCTTCCTCCGAGGTGAAGGTGTGGTCATATCTCGTGAAGCGGACCCGGTGGGAATCCAACTTCAAACTCACCATCAAGGTGGAGAACAAGTCCATAAAATCCTAGAAACAGCGAAGACATGAATTGTCAGCCTTCAATCAAAACTCTTTCCTTTGACACAGTCCAACTTCCTCGTCTCTTCCTGTTCTGCCCGCTCTTTCTCTCTCTATCTCTCTCTCTCTCTCTCTCTCTCTCTTCGGCGCGGGGTATCGGGAGGTCCAAAAACCTACCTTGGTGAAAGGGCGCTCATCCTCGGTCATGCGCAACAATCTCGACGAAGTCTGGTGCATCTTGGGAGGCGCAGTTGGCGCAGCGCCCGGAGCAACGGGGCGAAGGTCGTGAGGGGGGGTCGGGACGCGCTGCAGCGTCAAGCGCCGTCTTTGTAAGTGGGATTCCGGGGAAACCGAGCGCGAGGCAGGCAATTGCTCGTAGGGATCTCCGTCAAGTGGCGGGGTCAAGGGAGTAGAGGTGCTCGATTTGGTGAGTTTGGACAGGCTCGCCGAGGAGTTGGAGGAGCGCAGTGTAGCGGGGGTGTTGTATGTGGGAGGTTGCGAGCTAGTGGAAATGGTCGACAGGCTTGCTAGGGCACTGGAGGTTTTCTGGGCCAAGGCAGCAAAAGAGCGACGGTTGCGGCGGGAGATCGAGCCGACGACTGACCCAGTGAAGGTGGTGGTCGAGGAGGTAGGCGGATCAGTCGTAGGGGGAAAGCTGGTGGTGGAAGAGGAGGCTCGAAAGCGAGTTGTAGAGGGAGGAGGAGTAGAGGTAGGAACTGAAGGGCCAAGGTATGGAAGAGATTCTTCTCGGTAATGGCTCACGGCTGGCACTGGCATTGAATGGATTTTGGCCGGTGGGTGAACCAGAAAGAACCAGACTTCGGGAAGAGTGTGAAAAGTGGGTAAGTCAAATAAGACCTGATACCCACGATCTGTACACTACAGCAACTTGGAAAGGGGGGTGGGAATGGGAATCTTGGAAATAGCGGATAGGGTGGAGAGAGAGGGGGGGGGAGGAAATAAAAAAAAAATGGTGGTAAAGAAAAAAAGAGAAGAAAAAATAATAAAAAATTAATAAAAAGAGGAAAAGATGGAGCTCCTATACAAGTTGAGGATCTACTGGTCAGGGAAATCGGGAAGTCTGTGGAGGGAAAAGGGAAAAAAAAAGGTGAAGGAGGGGGAAGGTAGGCGTTTAGAGTGTTTGGGACGTCTACTATGAGAGGGCCGTAAGAAAAAAAAAATAAAAGGCGTAAGAAGAGGGGGGAAACTTGCAGGTGGTTGGGAACTGAAATTATGAGGAATTATACACTATATACTTTGATTTTCTTTTTATTCTTTTTTTTCCCGCTTTTCCCCCGACGGCGAGAACCATCTCAGATAAGGCTTAGAGAAATTCCAATTCAAAAATAGAGAAGGTTATCCCATAGTACAGAACCAAAGGAAAAACCATAAGATAGCCAGATCTAGGAAGAATAAAACAAGAATGTAAGGGAAAAACAAAAAGAAGAGAAAAGAGAAAATCCTGGTGATATCGAGCCAGGCCCCCTTGGTGAAGAATCACAGCCGGGCTGTCATCCATGACCCACCGACCACGCGTGAGGCCCGGCCGGAAAGAGTTTGGTGTGCTGCATCCAAACAACGTGGGCCAAGGGAAGGGATTGCCTCATGGTGAAGATCGGTGGGTTCCTTTTCATGCAGAAGTATTGGTATTACACTGTTACCATACAGCCATACGAGGGCCGGATCATACCGCAATGAATTACGCGGGACAAATGTATGGAGTGCTTGCGACCGTAGACTTACATATGTCTAGACTAGACAGATATCTTAGCGATCGTCTCTCCCTTTTCATTCTTCCTTTGTGATTAGGGTAGGTCCATGTCTATATAATGTACTTCTCCCGGATTTAATTATAAAAACAAAATCACAATAGATTGACTCTCCTGAAACTCTGGCATTCAGCATGGTTACCTCCTATCATACCAGCGACCGAATAGTTCAAGCGATAGTCAGAAACTGATCCAGTCTCATAGGTGAGCTAGCCTCTCTCTTCCCTACCCCAACTGACCAAATTCCAAATCCACGCGGAGATCCATTCCGCTTCCTCCAGTTAGATTTTTGTGACGGAAAATAATCCCCCCCCTAAAACCTCTACCGTATCATCATTGACCAGCCCATTGTCCAAATACAGAGATATTATGAAAATTCGGTCAATGATCTCACCATCTACGAAGGTCCTCCGGGCTTCAACGGGACCACCGACCCAGGGATACCAGACGAGGCCGACCAGAATGCACATGGTGACCTTTGGTTTGAAAGAATACGAGATGCCTGTACTGGTCTCTCATAATAAAAGGCATTGTTCGCGTGAGAAACTTACTACAGTAGTAGATCACTAGAAACCCCCAATACATTTCAATACCCTGATCGGCCAAGATCAGTCGGTCGGAAATACCCCTCCACACATCGTACAGTAATGAAATTGCTGGTACATCCTTACTCATTGGCTCAACTCTTGCTGGCCCAAGTTTAGTTCAACCTGATGTAGTAACTGGCCCCTATCATCACCCACACTAATACTGGTGCTTCCCACCAGTGGGCTGAACCGAATCTCCAGGCTGACGGTTCTTTTGATTGGTTCTCTTCCCGTTGTACAATCTCCACTTACTCCGGACTTGCTCCGATTTGGAGAACCGGCGCGATTTCGAAAGCAATCCATGTATAATCCGTTCAGGTAATGATTTGTGCTTTCCATTACCGATGTACGGACATTTCGCCTCCTCCGTACCCTAGGGTTATGGAGACCGTATCAAACTACTCGGCCCCCTGGACCGAACAGGCAATGGTGGCCCTCACCCACGGGCTCCCACGTGGGAATCCCTACCCCTCCTCGCTGCTTGGTCCTCAGTTTTGAATGTCTTCCCGTTCGGGAACCTTATCGGTCGTGGCGAGGAAAAATGGAAACAAGGTGCCTTGACTTCACGTCTCCGTTCCGATCCCGTCGTCTCCCTTGGTTCTCCATTCACCCGTATCCTCGTTTTCCTTCGTGGCGGTGGTCGGTCGCCTCTCCGAGAGAGAGAAAAGATATCTAAGGACCTTCCTTGTCCGGTATTTTCACCGCCACCGATCAAACCCTATCGACCCGGCCAACCTGGAGGAGCGGCAGGGCCTGACGAAGGGGTACATCACATGTTTCACGGGACATTTTTTTCGCAAAAGTCCGATCGGAGTGGAGCATCCGCTTCTCTCGCTGTCCTCTCGTCGTCTCTCTTTCCCTCTCCGCTTGTCGGAGCTAGTGTTTCGGGCTCGAAAATAGGCTGAGACCGCCCAATCTTGGCTAAGCGGGCTGAGGGAGCCAGAAAGCCTTCCACAGCCTTTCCAGGCTTCTTCTCGCGAGACCATGTGGTCCACGTGGACACACGTGGAGTCGCGGTCTGAGCGTATGCCTCAGGCCTATAACCGTCCCTCCTGAATGCACTAACCTCCGTACGGAGTACCTCCCTCTTCGAATAGAATACGCCACGGACACTTGTGTCGCCCACACACACCGACGGAGGATACACTAAATCTCAGCCCCAGCAACTGTAATTTATGCCCCGTGCACACTTCTCAGTAGTGCCCACTCGGAGGAGGCTCGCTCGCTTCTTTCTACCCGCTCCGCCCCTTAGTCAGGAGGGCTTGGCTGGGCTAGCCCTCTCGCGTTGTCCGTGTTATCCTTGTTCAGGCATGGGTTTCTCACACCCGAGACAGCGAGCCACGCCAACAGGCGCCCGTCTGACAACTAACAAGGTCGTTTCATATCCACAACGGGTTCTAGCCTCTATCTAGACGAGACGGTATAACTGTGGGCCTCCCGCTGCCTTTTTCTGTTGCTAATTCGGTGGCATGTTTGCCAGCGCACAGACTTGGGGCCGGAGGAACCGTGCTGTCAAGTCAACGAGACCCTTCTCCAGTTAGGCCACACGGAATGACCGAATACGAGCTGACCACTAGGATCAGTAACGGTTGGGGGAAAGCCATGTTCTAAGGAGAAGTTGTGATATGATGAACGGTTGTGAATAGATCTTGAAGGACCGTGGATAGCCAATTCCATGCTGCGAAGGAGTCGTGTACCTGCAGGAACTAGTCAATTATATGTATCTGATTGTACACCCTACCAAGTGGGTATGCAAATCGTATAGAAAAGGTCGCCATCTACCTCACCATAACGGACCAACGAATTGAGCCGCAGGCCCAACATAAGACAGACTGTCGTTGAGTGTCTTACCGATTCTCTTACATCTACCATGTCAATCTCTCCGCCAATGTTCCGCGGGTAATCTGCCTCAAAACCACTGGAACCGAGCACGTACAACTTCCAAGTCGGGAAATTGGTGCGATCAGGAGCCCTGTCAGACAAAGTCAGCCGCGGGGGTTCTCCTGGGGACAGTGCACGCGAATAACATCCCCATATTGTAAAACCACAAAAATTAGACAGATAGCCAGATCACGCAAATCAAAATTCAGTGCGAGCCTATCCACCGTGAGCCGGGGCGCGGCGTAGATTGGTTGTCGATCGCGCTTGACCAGGATCGGCGATGACTATGATTATGATTCTTGGTCCTGACAGTGGTGCCTAGAGGCAAATTGCGGGCTGTCGATCGGACGGGGGTTGGCCCCTTCTTGACTGGGGGAACCGTACTCCGATCGGAGATAAAATGATGTGATGCGTCACAGTGCCATCGATCTATCGATTCTGTTGATAGCTCGATTGCGTGTCGGTAGTACCATGCGCTGTAAGTAGTGATGTACAGAGGACTTTGCCACGTGGATTGGGGTAAAACATGTGCATACTGTACTTGTGTCAGAAGTCAAGCCATGTATGTAAGTCATATCATCCTAGCCGATGGGTCCCTGTCCTGTGAGAGTCACTGATTCATTGAAGATAGCTCCAGTGGCTTGCAGCCCCTATAACAAAAAGGCTTTCTCCTTGATAGATAGCAGGCGGAGCACGAGAACAATCACACTTGACGTGTCGCAGATAAATTCCTAGAATATACCCTGACTGAAAACTACACAGCGAGAGGAGGATAAGGGAGAGGCCAAGAAGCCAAGGCCTCAGCCCTGCGGTACCCAATCAGTCAGCTAACCACCCAAATTCTAAGGTTCGCCAGCAGGGTTCCCCAGCCGTCATTATCAATAAGCCATATCGGCAGATAATATACACAATTTCCATACGAAGGGCCGCAAGAAAAGACCCTACACTTTTAAACACCAAGGGAAAATTGCTAGATTAAATCTTGGCGTTACCTTAATACATAGAAACCCTCCTCTGCCCCTCCACCCCCCAAAAAAACGTGGGAGGAGCGATAGGCGCAGAAAAAGCCTCGAGACGAGAGAGGACCACAACTCAAACACGCTGAGAGTTAAATACCAGGCAATGTCGCTTCATCCCGCCCGCTAGCCGTTATCGCTGCGATCAATTGGGCAAGCAAATCGAAAATTGAGGCCCGCTAGTTTGTTTACGGAGAAATCTCCATAAGCTAATGAGCTAGAGTTGCGGTCAGACTGTTCTAACGGTACAGCAGTCGAAGTTAAGGACCCAGTGATCCTCATTGAAAATGGGTGATTAACTCTGGAGAAGCGAGGCGCTAAGTGGAATGGTATCTTGGTATGATGGTATTGTACAGTAATATGGCCCCCTCTCTTAATTAATACGTACGTATTTTACGCGAGGTTTTCGTTTTTTGAAACCCCCTACATACCCCAAACTGGTCCGTTCCAACGCGGTGGGTTTGTATCGTGGCATCCCTGACCGCCACGCGAGAGAGGAATGCGAAGCTACTTCCACATGCAATACTGATCTTCTAAACGGGTGAACAATAGGGCACAAATAAGCATACATCAGAATTAAAATAACAGTAATAGCTCAGCACAGTCAGTAGGGCGTCTAATGATCTTAGCATAGCTAACGAATTTGGAATTTCCTTTCTAGAACCAGAAACATGATTGGTAGACTGACGCTGTGAATGGCCTTGATGGTGTAATGGTAGGACGACTTGACTCTCTTCGATTTTGCTTTTTCTGCGCTGGCGAAACGAGATAGACACAACTTTGCTTTTCCATTCTTATGATATCCTTGATTCGTTTAGCATAGCCGAGATCCCGATATCGACTCGAAAACAAACAAAGAATAAAGGAGGATGAATAAGTTTCACATAATCTCCCTGTTCCATTTCTGGGGTGCAGGCGGCTGACACAGTCTAAACCTTCACGAGTCAAAATCCCAGCTCTACGACTGGACTTGTATACCCTGTGGCCAATAGGAAAGAGCGGGATACCAGCAGAAGTACTGTTTTAAGGCAAGGTACGAAGTGTACACTGGACATACGAACCTGCCTGGAATGATCGGCGGCCGCGACCATACTTCGACGCCATGCAGGGACAAAACCTTGTGTGCTAACTGCCCAGAAATTTAGCTGCTAGCCTACAGATTAATAATCTGTTCTCCGC